ACCATAGAACACGAAACAATAAACAGTTATCCTTCTTAACCTCAAAATTATTAGACCTGACACACAGTTTAAACAAAATTCACCGCAAAACACACACACTGGTCTCTACATCCCCTTGAATTCCGCTCATTACACCACACAAAAAATCAATACACTTAAAAACCTCATAAACACAGCCACAAGACTCTGTTCAACGGACTACATAAATGAAGAAATTAACCACTTAAAGCATTCCTTTATTCACACCAATAAATTCCCACCAGCAATAGTTGAAAAACTCTCCAACATTCCCCACAATAAAACTCAACTCACGAACAAAATTGATACTAACAAACCCAACAACAGTACATTACACTGTAGTTTACCTTTTGTTCCTGAAACCAGCTCAAGAATTGTCCACACTTGGACTAAACTAGCCATTAAACACAATATTCCTGTCAACGTCAAATTCTCACAAAAACCCAGCCCTAAATTAAAATCGTTACTGAACAAGAATTATTTAGAATCACACAATACCAACGTCATTTACAAAATGACATGCAATAACTGCCCATAATTCTACATCGGAGAAACAGGAAGAACATTGGAAACCAGATTGACAGAACACAATAAAAAACCGTCCCATGTTTTTCACCATTGCAACTCAAAAAAAAACATAGTATATCTATTAAAAACACAGTCATTTTAAACAAAGAACCAACATAAACAAACGAAAAATCAAGGAATCCATCTTAATTGAACAAAACAACCCTACTCTAAACCAACACCCCGGGATGTCTAGATACCTCTTCTAAGTTTCACAACAGTTCCGGTCATGTGACTTCTTTGTTCAATACTGTATAAATATATATATCTGTGTCAGTGTAAATTACTTGTACCTGATGATGAAAAAACCTTGTACACTTGCTGTTATGTTAAACTTATATTAAAGTTTTTCTTCATTACCCATTCAAGCCGTCTCCAACAATTGTTAGTCTCAAAGTGGGTTCCTCGTCATCGAAATTGTTGCTGTATATTAACTTCAAGTAAAGCATTGTTAACTATAAATGAGAACAGTAAATTAATATTATAATGTTTCTGTTGATCGAGAAGTTGCTAAGTTCTCAATAGAAAGTTCGTTAAATCGTCAATGAAAATGAAATTTGTCAAGTTTACTTTTCTCACCATACTTTATGATTTTTGTTGGGGTGTGCATTTAGAACTTCACAGGGGGCGCTCATAGAAGGGATAGACTATATTTGAGGACATATTTCTTACCTGATGATGACAAAACCTTGTCGAAACGTTGTACACTTGCTGTTATGTTAAACTTATATTAAAGTTTT